TCCCAAACAAGGATGAATATCATCACCAGAGGAGCTTCTTTCTGGATCCTCGTAGCTTAGTTAAGCTAAGCTTCCAAGAAGCATAGTTTCTTTTGCCATCCATTCTCTTTTATCTTCCCCATCTACCAGCACCTTCGAGTCTTTTCCCAACTGGAACATCTTTGAGTAGCTTGTTCCCTCTATGATATTGCATTGGTATATGATAGCCAGCAGGTGCACTCTGTTTTCTTCCTTTTATATTGAATTATTACTATGAAGAGGCCCCAAAATAGGCAAAGGTCCCCATGCTCTGTACAGCAAAACAGAACAAACACGAGGAATGCGGATTATCTGCTCAATTTGTATGTTCCAGTTGCAAAATGGGAGTACTGGATTGACAGTTTGAAGTATGGAAGGTGTTTTAACAGAGCTCTTATCCTTGTAGTGAGGATGGGGCATGCAGTTAGGTAATGAGCTGAGTACCTCCAAAAATACAGGATCTGCATTTTGCCACGAAGTATCTCTGAACCCTTCTCCTGAGACTTCAGATCAATGGCAGCTAAACACCACACCCAAAAATGTAGCATCAAGCAAGAGAATTTCCAGTTTCCACAGATGCACAAATATGTCATTTCACATAACGTTTATAAGAGTCAACAGGAGAAATGAAGCTGTCCAAGAACCAGCCACAAGGTTGGTGTGGCTCACTGCTTAGCACTGGATACATTTGGCTATTTTGGAGTCCTGAAAACAGTTCCATCTTCAAATATATAGTATCTAGTTGCCACAAAAGTCATCCATCGGCACAGAAAAATGCTCTTAGGAAGCACAATGACAGGAAAGAACAGCTGTTACAAGCTCATCATTTTTAGGCTGAAAGTTTCATGCTGCAACAGACAATTTCATTATTCTGAAAGCTAACTGCATGTGCACATCAAGAGAAACTGGGTGATTAGATAGAACTAGTAATAAAGATAATTCAAGCAGAGGTTATATTGGGTATAATATTATCATTGTTAGATGTTTCCACTTTACTCTTTTGTAAAAGGTGCCAATGCCCTCCCACCCCAAGTTTCTTAAATGACCACAGCAGTAACTAGTTGGCGAATCAGACATGTCTGCATATGCACCTGAATTCTTTGGCTTTCCCATTTCAACTGCAACTCCCTTAGGTGCACCAGAGGCTGCTCTAGTGAGACTATCAGATTTCAAGAGTGACTCTTTGGGGTCCATGGTGGCAGGAGTGAGAAGTCACAGCTTGTGGGGGGGGGAGGTTCAGTCACATCTCTTTAGTCTTACCCTTGATTTTTGCAGCTTTCCATTAGCAAACATTGCACACCGTAGTCAGCGAGAAACCACTGTCTGTCTGCAGGGGACACGTGGAATGCCCTGGTTGATTACCAGGGTTAATTTGGTCTTATTTTGCACACAGCTGACCCTTCTGGGCCCTTAGATCAAACAAACTCAACATTTGTGGATCAATGCTAATGTTTTCCTGGTCAGACTGTTTTAAATACACCTGGGGTAATAGTTCTTTTACAGATGATAAAAAGCACTCCTTGTGTCGGCTGTATATTTTGAGCTTTAGTGGCTTGTGGAGTAAGGGGAAAACCCTCATGCAAACATTTTTAAGTTTGCTCATTCCAGAATATAGCCAGTTTCTTGCCCTTCAGTGTAAAACAAGCGGAAATTAAATGGCTTAGTCAGGAGCCATTCTTAATTCCTTTGCTGTCAGCTTAAGTAAGCACAGCTTCTAAAATAGATGATTGTACCGTAGAACTGTGTAGCAGTGTGGTGTAGTTTTTCTTAGTATTGAGTGTGGTGCGGTCATCCCAATCTTCTCTAATCAAAGACTGATGTAACTATGATCCAGGATTGCACAATCTCTACTTATAGTTGCCTGTGTTTTGAGTCAGTCACGTATTTATGAGTTTATTACTTTAGATACACAAAGCGAATAATGTTTTTTTTAAAGAAAAAGTTATCCCCCAGCATTCAAGCCATTCTGCGTTGCCAGATTGTAAAGCAAGTGTACTATCCTTTCAAATAGAATCAGACAAAAATGTAGTAGTAGATCTATGCTGGACTATCAAAAGTGGATTTTACAGGTCTTCTGTTAAAAAATACACAAGGAGAGTTAATTTCACGATTATGGTTAGACCAGTGTGCACATCAGCATTTGCCTCTGCTGTCTGCATTTGTGATTCTTTTTGGGAATTTCTGTGATTCTTGCAATAGGATATGGGAAGGATCCGATTGCTCAAGTAGGGCTGAGGTTGCAATTGTTTTGATACGCGCATTTAAATATACATTTGGAAACCAGCACTTTGTCTATACTATTGGAAGAGCAAAGGCTCCTAAACAGAGGTTCTTAGTTGTTGCCTTACAGATGTGGAACTCTCTTCTAGATTCCATTGAAGTCTCAGCCTGGATACCTTCCAGAAGTATTTTTAGGCTAGGTTTACACGTGCAGCAGAATTTATAAAAACTCCTAACCCACAAGGCATCTCACAACTGTAAATCAAAACATAACAACTTACCAATAATAGAACTGTTACAAATATACAGCAACAGGTTTGAAATACCTCAAATCAAGCTAAAAATGTGGCAGAACAAAGTCTTTTCAATTCACATAAATGGCATTAAAGAAGGGACCAGTTGACTCTCCCAAAGACCGTTCCAGAGTCTAGACACTGCAGCCAAGTATGCAGTATCCTGCTGGACCTATGATGGCAGTGAGATGCGGAGCATGGCCTCTAAGACATAGAAACTTGAGACTATAGGTATCATTGTTATATGATCCCCATATTGGTTTAAAAGCGCTTGCCAGGAATTAGCTGCTAATTATGGGAGGTTGTAGCCGAGCATTCAAAAACATCATTCTACCTGTAGTCTGATGTGATGCAGTCCATTTTACTGCCTCATTCTGCGACAGGACATTACCTTCCCTGTTCTGGCTGGCTTTTAAAGCTCAGACATAAAGAGGTATAAAGTGACTTCTGTATGTAAATTGTGTAAATGCAGCATCAGTGTTTTTTTAACTTGGTAGAGTTGTGCTGTGTCTTAGCTGAAAATGACAGTGCTTAGGCATCCTAATGGCGTATAGAATGGAATAAATAATCCTCTAAGTTGGTAAATGTAGGAGATTCAAATGTATATTTGGGGTAACTCTCATGGTCTCAAGATGTGGGCTACGACCTTCCTGGGATTGTGAAACAGTCGTGGGAAAGTTATGCACAGGAACTTCATGAATAATCCAGCAGTGCTGGAAGACAAGCTGGTAACTTGTGCAAGCAGCAGCTCAGTTCCTTGTCTTGGCAGAAAATATAGATATGGAGAAAGGGCAATAGCAACTCCTTCTAAGGTCTTGAATATCCATTTGTTCAAGTGCATAGGTTCTCACATGGCACAGAAAGATATATGCCACTCTGTGCTACATTGTCTAGACACTCTTCCACTATGCACAAGGTTTAAGGGAGCCTTGGAAGTTTTTTAAAAAATTAAGAGGATGGCTTGTTAACTTGAGACACATTTTAAATATCCTGCAAATAAGAATCTTGCAGCTTGTGTTGTATTTGTCCATATGAGTGTTCGATTTGTGAAATGAATCTTCTCTCTCTCCATTCACATTCCTCCTCTGAATCCACCTCTTCTGTGAATCCTATGCCCTAACTTCTTAATCTTGATCACAAGCCATAACACAGTCTCTGTGTATTTCCATCTGCTCACATTCATCCCCTTTAGCCTTCTCCTAGCTCTGTTGTCTCTCATCATGATGAAATTTAGATTGTAAGCTACTTGCAGCAGGGTGACTTTTTGGTTGCTTCTGTAAAGTGCAAAGCACGTCGTTGGCACAGTATAAATAACAAAGCATTTCTAATTATGATTCTGCTTCTGTGGCTAAAGAAAGTTCCACATAATAAGCTTTCTGTCTGTAAAGCTAAATATTATGTAGCTTTAGGATGTATTTTGACAGCCATTGTGAATAAGTGGTGTGGTTGCCAAGGATAATTTAAGACAGAGCTTCATGTTAATCATCTTCTTCCTAGGAGATAATTATGGAGAGCTAGCAAACCATAGTCAATGAAAAGTGAATGAATTCAAGAATGTATATGCAGTAGTTCCTCTACTTGGTGGAAGAATAACTTTCTATGTTTTATTTCAGTTCTCTTAATAAACCCTGTAACAATAAAAGGTTTAATTTAAATCACTGTAAACATGTATATATGTGAGAGGATGAAGTACAGTGTCAAAATATTTTTGCTACTCTATCATAGTTTTGGAGAATATTCTTAATTGTTCACATGCTTTGTGTCCCAGATTTTCAGTTCATATGCCTGTCTTAAATAGATATGGGTGGTGCTTTGGTTTCTCATTTGTTTAGTTACAAATAATATAGTTAAGTACTTGTTAGCATATATCATGAAAGTTGAAAAAGCAAGTTGATAACCACCTCAGTGTCCTTAGAAGCTGGTTCTCCAGCTGCAAACATTTATAGCACTGGCAGTTTCCCAACACTTTGGATTAGCTCTGGGCATGTCTACAAAGGATTTTAGCTGTAGATGCCTTTTTTTGTTGTTCAAGGCTAAGTAGATTCCGCTATAAGGAATTGACTTCCTTCCCTGCTTGACTAGTCTTTCAACAATCCAGAATGAGAGAGAATTATCAAAGATTCTTTCTGGGGAAGGCTTAGAAAGCATGTTCTCACTTTCTAAGTTTACAATGCTGAAGAATCCAATATTGAATGTAATCACTCTATCAGCAGCACTTTAACAGAGGTTGAGTTACCAATTGAAAGAGCAAATTGATATTGAAGTTCTTTTTCTTATATTTCCAAAAAATATACCCCATTTAAAAATGTGTAAGAGAGCACTTAGTGGGAGCTGTCTTTAAACAAAAACAAAAAAACCCTCTATTTTGTACAACTGGGTAATGAAACATTGCCTTATTTCATTTATGAATCACTCTATAAGGTGCATCACAAAGTGATTTACAGTATACTTTATAGTGAGCCATTTTCCATGAACGTGTTTGAATTTTCTAGGTGCTTCACTAAAACCAGTGGCACTTTTGGAAGCAACCCTGCAGCTGTGATGCCCATCGTAGCACCTTATCAGCAGGACAGTTTAGAAATGAAACCGTTGAATCATATGATGGTCGCGATGTGCTTAGCGTCCACAACCCCCGGATGCAACGCTGAGGCAGAGGAAGACGGCAAGGAGAAAGTGGATCCCCCATCTCCTCAGGATTCCTGTGACCAAGAAAATGTGAATCCACTCAGTACAGATTGTATAGAAGGTACGCCAGCATTTGGGGAATTGTGGAAATATATAGCTGCCTCCGAGGCAGTTGCTTTTTATTTATAATCAGAGCAATTTAGCACAGAAACCAAACTCAGACTGAGATTAAATACTTAAGCTTCTTGTGGTTCCCTGTGCATGTTATGGAATTTGGTGCTGTGGTGCTTAAACTGCAGGCTTCTTTTTCCTTTTTAAAAAATGGATTTCATCCAGTACTCTCCTTGGATTATTTGTGGTGACTAAATTGTTTTAAACACTGTGCTAATTTATTTAAATCTCTGCCAAGACCACCTTCGGCTGTGATCTTGTGTTTCAGCGCAACTAAGATTAATCAAACTAGCTACTTAGGATAGAAGAGCTGCAGGACAGCGGGGGAGGGAGGAATGTTGATGATTCATCAAATAGGAGTCTTGTTTCCCAGCCTGTTGGGCTTGTATGAGCCTCTTGATAAATTGGATGGTTGTTGAAGTTGCTAATAGACAACTAGATGATAATAGCTGTGTTTTTAATTTGCAGATCACAGTGCACATTTGGAAACATCAGATCACATGTTGAGCTGGAGCCCCCTTATTCTCCAGCCTCTTTCAAAAGACTGTAATGAAAAGACAGAAGGGATTTCAAATGGCGTTACGTTGGACGGTTTGGGAGTCTTCGACAGCTCCAAGTACAAGAGACTTAAGGAACTGACCTCCTTCCCCTCCCACTTAAGCCAGTAACTGCACAGCAGAGTCGCTGAAGAGACTTACAAACAGGATGTTAATTAATAAAAGATGCTATTTATTTTTTGTGTAGTGTCCTATGAATGTATGTTTTTAAGAAAGCCTTTTGCCTTTTCATTTTATTTATGTCTTAAGAAATTCCTTCCCATCCCTCCCAGCACGACACCATTGTGACTATCTGAAGGTATGTTGTCATTACAGGAAACATACTAAAATGTTTTCCACGGACATTGGAAGAATACAGCTTCATTATAGTGCAAACATTTAGGAGAAGTACTTATTGGATGGTTCAGATCCAAGCTGATCTTCGGTTTATAATTTACAATTTGGTGATATAACTCCACAGGATGGTTCAGTGCAAATGAAAACAGAATGAACTTTTGGCTATGGAAATTTAAATTGTTACAGCATATTAATGAACTGTTGCCACCTAACTCTAAACACCCTAATGTGGAAAAACATGGAACTTGCAATGGAAGTCTGGGTTCTCAGTCAGTGCTAGCAAACACTTGTTGGAAATGGCAGGACTGAAGAAAGGCTCATTTAAGTGAATGTAGTAGTTGAGGTGTGGAGTTCTTGCATACTCGTTCCAGATAGTGAAAGGCACAACATGGGCAACAATTAATGGTTGGCAGACACATATGTAACCCTTACTGCTGGGTGGAAGAGTTGAGCATGGGTATTTTGCACCGGCGCCCCTTGTTGCCATTCTAAAGTGTTTTGATTTGTTTCTGATGTTCCTGTTATGTGTCCTGTGCATCAAGGAGAATGTACAGGGCACATTTCTACTTGGGTTAGGTGAGCTTTTTTGAAAGCTTGTAGGATGCTTGGGTAAAAAAAGCAAGGGTGAATTTGATGTCAGTGATTTAGGAAAGCAATCAAAATTGTTCTGGATTGAAAAATGCTCCCTCCTATCTCCCCCCACCCCCCCTCAAATGTGTGTTTCTGGCATTTTGCTTAAGGGTAAAATAAGTTCATACACAGTCCACATTAAGGAAATAGAGAGGATAAACACCAGGAGGAAATGGCCAGAATGGGAGGAAGTTGAGAATAGTTGTCCTGGTTAATCCGCAGTTAGAACTTTATAACTAGTCACTATCACAAAGATGGAGCAGTATTGTTGGTAGTTAAGTTTAGCAACACATTCTATGAAATAGGTCATACAAACTCACCCTTTGCCAAGAAGTTGGTCCAGAAAGGGTTCTGCTTTGGCTGCTTTATAAATACACTGGAGCATTACACAATCAAGCTTAGAATGTAAGGCCTCTAGAACATTTTGTTCATTTGGTTTAGGCACCAGCTTCAGACTCAAGTCCTTTGCCTTACACCTTCCCAGGGTTGCCAACTTGAATAAAATATTTGGGGGGGAGGGGGAGCTTCCCAAAGATTCTCATGATTATTCTGTGTATCTTCATGGAACTTGGATAATAGGTGTAAAAGCAGGGCAGTCAGGGTTGGGGGTGTGATGCAGAATGTTTAACACCCTTGTTTCACTTCTTTTGGAGTACAAAATAGCTGCTTCGCCCCACAGCGCCCAACACTATTCAATGGTTGTGTCAGACTTGCAGCCAAGTTGTAACACCTGTATATGTATCTTTAAGAAAGGTGCCTGTGCTTCAAGAAATAGCTGAGGGGCACAATGTGGACGTCACAAGGCTAGCTGCATTATTTCCACCTTCTCCCAGTTTTAACCAGCACAATAGAAACAATACTTACGCACTTGTAAAACAGCTCCATGAATTGGAGGCACGTAACACTATATTGCAGTTGCCCGCGGCAATATGAATTCATTTTCCTAGCTAGATCCAGGAACTAGAAACGCCCCGTTTGAGAAGGGGTGAGGGGGGAATAGAGGAAAGGCCAAATCATACTGAATAGTATATTGCAAGCCCCCTTACAGAAGAGCAGAGGTGCTCATAGGTGCAATGTACCATACTGAGTAACATTTGTGTGTTTTGTGAGAGTGTGTGTGTGCGGCGCGATAAAAACAAGCTTTGGTTAGTTTTATATCTCGCTTGCAGCAATTGTCAAATGCTGTGTGTGTATATACGTGTGCGATTATTTTATATAATATATTATGTATATTATATAATTTTATAAATAAGGCTCCCTCATGAGAATTTGCAGTGCTTATTTGGGTTACTGTGCAAGGACCCCTTTCTTTGTAGGAAATTAGAACAAGATTCAATTTATAATTAGGCCCACAGAACATCTTTTGCTGCTCATCTCCAAACTAAACTAACGGCTGGAGACTTCCGAGAAAATACTTTTCAAAGCCTTAGAGGGGGAGTGACAACTAGTAAACGAATGTGACCTGGTGGAAGCAAAGTCCCAGCTGGTTTGGAGACAATTATTATATATGCCTTTTCAAAAAGCAAGAATGTCAGAGTACCTTTGATGTGGGAATTTAAGGGATTCTGGCACCTTCTCTGTCATACGAGGCCACTTCAGTTCAAAAGAGTCCAGGCAGGTAACATGAGCCTTTCGATGTGGAACCCGAGAAAGTCATACTTGGAGGCTGGGAAAGAGTTTGTAATCTGTTGTAGTAGAATCTCATCAAGGACTGCTTTATTTATATTGTGTGACACTGTTTTAAGTGTTTTTCCTTTTATTGTATTTTATTTATAAAAGTTATATATTGCCTTTATATTTTAGGGGGATTGTGAGTTTTCCCTCAATCATAGGTGTGTAATTATGAACCTTGCAAAGCATAGACAAGTGGCCAAGTTTTCTGATCCACCTGCTCATTCAGTGCCCACTATCATATTAGATTCTGACTAGTGACTTCTGGCCAGGAAACCTAAGAAATCTTGTTTTTGCATGTACTGATGGATAATAATGTGCCTTCCTACTTGGTATCCACTTAAGCTGTCACTGCCTTTTCAAATTCATTAAGCACAATAAATTTGTGGGACTTTTTAATGGCTCACAAAGCACTTTCATGAGACTTACAGCATCTTGTTTAAAAACTTTAGAATGCTAGCTTCTCATGTTTCTACTCTTCATGTCTTCACAGAGCTTTGGAACCAAATAAGCAAGTAGAAGTCTAAACTCCACATTCATTCTCATGCTTTTAGTGTTTAGCATATTTTCCCTGAATATTTCTCATATACAAAATTCATGATCAGAATATATTACTGCCACAGACAAATTCTTCATGTCTGTCATCAGTAGTTTGGCATCTGACATGTGTCCTCGTGGTAAGATGCAGATTAATGTTAAAGCAGAAAGAAAATGCACAATTTTGGCTTGGGATAGGTTAGATGTTCTCCTTTTGTTCATCCTCAAGGTCTCTGACTTATTAGAAGGGCTTCTGACTATTTTAAAATGGCAAGAACTGATGCAGCGATATATTATTATACCACAGCTATCCATGTTATGCATGGCACTAGCAGGTATGTAAGTCCAAGCACAAAATTGGAAGTATGTCCCACTGAAATCTGTCCTCCTTACTTCAATATAAGGAGCCAGTGCTGGGAAACCACTTCAGCTTTGACAAGTTTTTTTTTAACAACTTTCTTGATGGCATATGTCCTGCCTATGGAACTGAAGCATTTCCCAACCTGGTGCCCGTTGTATGTTGCTGGATTACAATTTCCATAATCCCGAAACATTGGTTATACTGGCTAGAGCTGATGGAGTCCCACAACTTCTGAAGGGTACCAGGTTAAGGGATACTGGTCTTCATTATAAAAGGTCTTATCCCCCTCCAATCTCTTAAAAGCAACTTGGTTAAATAAAGTATTGCTGTCTAAGCAGCAAGCGTTCTAATATTTGTAATTCTTGTTCTTTTGCAAATAAATGGTTTTAAAGATGCATGTCTTTTGTATCATATAGAAAAAAATACACTATATTTTCCTTTAAAAGTTGTAATATTCTTTTTTAAAAAAGAAAATTGTACATATGTTTAAATGATGTAGGTTTGGGCAGGATTTTCCTTGTTTTTAATATTAAAGAGAATGCTGCTGCTTTGGTGTAATAGTTACAATTGCTGTCTGGTGTTTCAGTCTCCAGTGTTTAAATCTGAATTCTCCAGAATTATGGTTTCCAAGTGCTATACCAAGTAAGTTAACTGCTTAACGGTGCTTTGTTATTGTTATTTTGGTATTAGTAGTACACACAACATTTCTTTCTTTCTTTCTTTCTTTCTCTCTCTCTCTCACTCACACACACACACACACACACACGCATCATAAAATTAAATGATTGGTTAGTATACTATGTGTTTACCCGGGACACATGGGGATATTTTCAGGACCTTTTCAATAATTGTACCCTGGTTTTGGAATGTTCTCCCCAGAAAAGTTCCTCTGGCACCCACTCTGATAGTTTTCCTACAACAGGTGAAGTCCTTTTTTTATTTTCCCAAGCTTTGTTTTTACTGAACCCAATAGATCAATTGGGTTATTTTTTTTTGCTGCCCTCTATAGGTTTGATGTTTTTTAGTTTATACATAAGTTTATACATACATTATTTTATGGTGTTTAAATTGGTGTTTGATAATACATTTGGAAGGGACGCGGGTGGCGCTGTGGGTAAAAGCCTCAGCGCCTAGGGCTTGCCGATTGAAAGGTCGGCAGTTCGAATCCCCGCGGCGGGGTGCGCTCCCGTTGCTCGGTCCCAGCGCCTGCCAACCTAGCAGTTCGAAAGCACCCCCGGGTGCAAGTAGATAAATAGGGACCGCTTACTAGCGGGAAGGTAAACGGCGTTTCCATGTGCGGCTCTGGCTCGCCAGAGCAGCGATGTCACGCTGGCCACGTGACCCGGAAGTGTCTCCGGGCAGCGCTGGCCCCTGGCCTCTTGAGTGAGATGGGCGCACAACCCCAGAGTCTGTCAAGACTGGCCCGTACGGGCAGGGGTACCTTTACCTTTACCTTTAATACATTTGGAATAGTAATAATAACAAATAATAACTAATTTCAAATCCACTATTTTGCGCACACCTTATTTAAATGGTGACATTAGGTCAGCCTTCTCTCACCTGGTGCTGTTCCAAAGTATTGAACTATAACTCCCAATATTCCCTAACCATGGCTGTGCTGCCTAGAGCTGATGGGAGCTATAGTCCTGACACCTGGAGAGCACCAGGTGAGGGAAGGCTGCGCTTGAGGATTACAGTGCTTCCATGTGTTTGCCACTGCCATCCCATAACCAGCTGTTGCTATACCGCATTGGTGCTTAAAACTGCTGTGGAGGTTTCATATAAAACATCAACCCAAGCGCTTACTATGGTTGCCTTCCTCTGGGGACCAGTTTTTCCAGCAGACAATTAGAACAGGCTTGTAATAATTGTGGAATTGGATGCCATTTCAGGGACAAAAAGCAAACTGCACCTTTTTCACATAACGTGTATACTGCCAAGCCTTGTGTATTTTTAATATTGCCTGTTGTGGATCTGTGTTACCTGTCTAAATGGCCTTTAATGTTTGCGGCATTTCAGTTATCTTCCACAACTGTCAACTCTGAAAAGGGCCCCAATGAAGTTTAGAAGTGTTTTTATAAAGATGAATCGATATACATAAGAAGCCAGCTGCTGAATCAGGCCAGGGGCCCATCT